CTTTTTACCCGTTTTGTGCTTTACTGGCTAGTTTAATTTTACGCACAAGTTATCCGTCGGTTTGTTTAATGTTTTTATGTGTATCAGTACCTATAGTTTGGCTTTTTGGCAACATATTTATACTGGTATACCAAAAAAATGTACTTTCATTATTAAATAGTGCAAATATGTTTGTTTGTTTGTTTGTTTGTTTTGTTTTTCAAATTTCCTTAAGCAACACACCATCATCATCACTTGCTCTGCTTAAATACTTTAAGCCAGCGAATTCAGATCTTATTCCTGCCTAATATTTGTTTGTGATGTCAAGTTTAAATAAAAAACAGAAAGCGTTTGAGACTGAGTGTTTGTAAACAAACCATTTACTGGGATTAGACTGCGTTTGTATATTGCTCTTCCTACAGTTGTTGGAATGACATTTCAGGACCACAGAAGCGGACAGCGACGCTTTAAATTTTTTTACAAAGGAGCCAAACGTCTTTCATTTACTGCAAGCATTTTCACCCAAATCATAAAAAACAAAGAGTTTTAATAAGAAGACAACTTTAATATTGTAGTTGTCAAAGCTTATTTACTCGCATGAAGATTAATGATAACGTGGATATTCTACCATCCCGTTATTCCTTTCACAAACTGTTACTTATTTATATAGAATTTTTCCCCATATGTGGCTGTGTCTTTAAAAGCACTCCTCACCTCCCTTCTTACTGGGTAGCATAGATTAATTGTGTGCACCAATGAATCGTGCAAACATACAAAGGGATCTAGTCCCTCCCCCATGCACACACAGCACCCGAAACAGTTATATTGCAATGAGCTGGGTGAGGAGAAGCGATGCTCTTAACAGATTTAAATCAATTTTGTTCTTCTGTGAGGAGATTTCGGATATTTACCTTGGGTTAAAATGTTATAGCCATGGATGTTAAATTTCGTTTTTTTGTTTCCTTCTCTGGGAAATAATTATATCGGATCCGGGATGACAAAGACAATAGGATACCGAGACTGGAGATGGCAGGTGCTTTGGTGGCATCTTTTCTTTCTTTTGTGGAGTACAATAGACGGACAAACTCGTTACAACATCCCAGAGGAGCTAAAACGGGGATCTGTGGTAGGAAATCTTGCCAAAGATCTGGGTTTGGGACTGTCTGAGATTTTTGACCGTAAGCTGCGCGTTGCTTCTGAGGCTGGTGAGCAGTATTTCAGCGTGGATGCGGAGAAGGGCGAGCTGGTGGTGAATGACAGAATAGACAGAGAGGCTTTATGTGGACAAAGCGCCATCTGTGTGTTGACGTTGCAAGTGGTCATTGATAAACCTTTACAGTTGTACCGAGTGGAGGTGGAAATACAAGATATCAATGATAATTGCCCTACATTCCCATCTCCAGAAACAACATTGCAGATAGCAGAGTCGACAGCGGCAGGGGCACGTTTTCCTTTGGAAACTGCGCAAGATCTTGATGTCGGAGTGAATTCAGTGAGATCGTATAGTTTAAATAAAGACGATTATTTTACTTTAAAGCTTAAAGATGTCTCCGGTGGAAGGAAGGTGCCAGAGTTAGTCCTCTCTAAATCCCTCGACAGAGAAAAAAAGCCTACACATCACCTCCAACTAACAGCTATAGACGGAGGAAACCCGGTGAAATCTGGGATATCTCAGATAACCATAAATGTATTGGACATTAATGACAATTTCCCTGTTTTTGAGAAAAATGTTTACAAAGTCTCTGTAAGCGAAAATAGTGTGCAGGGTACACCCATTATTAAACTGATAGCAAAGGATATTGATGAGGGTCTCAATGGAGAAATTGAGTATTCATTTGGGGGGCACACACCAGACAGTATCTTGTCTTTGTTTGATATTGATTTATTAACCGGGGAAATTAGTCTGACAGAGAGTTTAGATTTCGAATCAAATGCTAATTATGAAATAGATGTTTCCGCTAGAGACAAAGGGACTCCGAGAATGGAGGGGCATTGCTCTCTCCATATTGAAGTATTAGATGTTAACGATAATGCTCCAAATATATTTCTGACCTCCCAACCTAACCCTGTGCCTGAGGATGCACCAAGTGGGACTGTAGTAGCGTTAATCAGTGCAAGAGACATGGATTCCGGTGACAATGGTAAAGTGACACTGCAGCTCCTTAAGGGCTCTCTTTTTAAACTGAAACCCTCTTTTTCTAATAATTATGCACTGGTTACTAGCGGTCCTTTAGACCGAGAGAGTTCCTCAGAGTGTAATATAGAAATAACAGCTACTGATTTAGGGTCCCCTCCTCTGTCGACAAAAAAGACTATTAATGTCACTATCACTGACGTTAATGACAATGCTCCTGTATTCACTCAGAAAACCTATAATGTGTATTTAAAAGAGAATGGAGT